AGTTGCTCTGAATGAGTTGATATTTGGCTGCATTTTTTCTCAAGCATTGTCCTCAGAGAGCATATATGGGAAGTTTATTTTTGAAACCCTTCCATGTTAAAAATGTTTTTCTTTCTCCTTGATAACTGAATAGTGTTTTGTTTGGGCATAGGATTTGTGAATCAGTTTTTCTCAAGGGTCCGTACATTATTCCAATGTCTTCTACATTCCAGAATTGTAGATGAGAATTCCTTAGTTATGCTGAATCTCTTGCCTTTGTAAATAACATTCTTTCTGTCTGAAAGCTGTATAATTTTCTGTTGACTCTTGAAATTCAAGTATTTCCTTGATTTATTTCCTGGACTTAATGAGACTTTCAATCTGCAGGCTTAAATCTAACTTCAGTTCAGCCTAGTAAAATACCTAATATTATACTCATTTACTTATAATATCTCCCTCATCCATTCTGTTTTTTGCTTTTTAAAAAATATCTCTGGAATTCCTTTTATTGTCATGTTAGGGTACAGGAAATGTCCCCCAAGCTGCTTAACCCTTCCCATGTGATTACTATCTCTTTGTGTTTTTGCTCCTTATAGGAAGATACTTCATTTACTTGGTCTTCCAGAGCATTAATTGGATTTTCATGGGGGCCAGTGATTTTTATTTTTAGTTCTTCTGCCACTACTTTAAATTTAAAATCAAAATTAAAGTCAGTGTCCTTAGTTCAGAATGTCTTTCTTGCATTTTCTCTTGATTTCTCATTGTGACCACCGCTGTTATTTTTCTTCCAATATTTTAATTATTTCTACTTAAATGCCCCCTCCGCATTATAAATATCCTATGTGATCCACCCTCAGGTGAATTTGTGCTCCTCTTATATACTGTTTCTGTTCTGCATACTCATGGATCTATTTCTTCTGATCCTTACGTGTTTATGTAGGTATTTGTCATTAACAAATTTGAAAATAGTGAAAGACACAGCACTTTCTTCCCTGGAATTCTGGCTAGCAGTGACCAAACTGGGCAACTGGAAGTAGCCCCCTCTTTCCTTTTAGAGCCTCCTTGGGTAGGAGGAGCATGTTCATCTCTGGCCTGATCTTGGAAATAAGTCATCACGCTAAAGCAGCCCCTGACTCTCTGGGGCCCTATGTGGAATTCTAGGCCTACAACCTCCTGGGTGGGAGAATACTGAACAATGGGCAGCTGGAAGACTGAATGCAGATGCAGCTTGTCTGGAGATAGAGATCTCTCTTGAGAGGACAGCTTTCCCAGTAAAGCACTTCAGGGAATGTCAGAACCCTGCTCTTTAATAGACTCGGACTGAAGCAAACCCACCGTGTGCCACTAGTTACCGTACCTTTGCTCACAAACAAGATAAACAAAGTCTTCTACTTTCTCTCTCATGTAGTTCCAGATCTATGGTCTCAGATTCATTCTCTATAATTTTCTAATTCCGCTACTTAAAGCACATCCTTATGTCCATATTATCTACCAGTTTGATTTAAAGAGCCTCAAAGAAAATAGACTCTAGTGATCTTTAAGTAATGCATATAGAATATAGAATTTCCAGTGGTATGTAGCCATAAAGCTTTTTACTTCATTGGTGCAATTATTATCACTCAAGGACACACTCTGGCCATTTATTCTGCCCTTCTGTAAGGAATGAGTCATTCCTGTTCCTCCTCTTATTGGGGATGAAAATCTACTTAAACTAATTTACTTATGCTGTAAAGGGTTAATTGTTGCTTGATTATGAACTATAACCAGTGTTGAGTTTAACACAATAATCATTTCTTTAATTATATAATCTAATAATCCTGGGTGGTTTACTTAGACTTTGCTCTTTGTGAGTGGTTCTTCTAATCTCAGCTGATCCCACTCACTGGAGTGTTACCTGCCTGATCCAAGTTGATCAAAGACTATGTAGGAATATCTGATCCAGATTGGGCTTGGCTGGTCATTGTGATCCACATATCTGATCCTCCTCGTGGGACCAGTGGGCTCGCTCTGCATGATCTTTTCATGGCAGTGTCAGAGGTTCAAGAAAGTGAACAAAGGCACATAAAGCATGTTGGGGCTTAGCCTAGGAGCTGTCATGCAATCACTTCTCCTTCATTCTTTTGGCCAAGTCCAGTCATGTATCAGAATCCAAAGTTTAGAGCCAAGAAAGGAGGCCCTTCTGGGGCAAGAGTGCAGGTAGCAAGAGGAAGAGAGTGATATACTTTAACATTATCATTGTCACTTAGTATGGAACAGTGCTTTCTTGGTCACTCTTTCATTGCTGAGACAAAGTAACTGACACCCACTACTTAAAGGAGGAAAGATTTATTTTATCTCATGGTTTGGTTCCATGATTGGCTGGCTGAAAGGCAAGGCAGATAAAAAATGACTCACACCATGGTGGCCACAAAGTAGAGTGAAAAGAACAGCCTGGGGAAAGAATATTCCCTTCCGGGTCACACCCCAGTGACCCACCTCCAACCAGGCTCCACCTCCTACAAGCACATTCAGCTACTAAACTCTCTGTGGATGAATCCGCGGATGAGTATGTATTGAACCCTCATGATCCAGTAACCTTCCAAAAACCCCACGCCTGAACACATGAGCTTTGGGGTAGAATTACATGTTAAGCCATAATAGATATGTTCTGCTGTGTGTTCCATATCTGAAAAAGTCATTGATAATAAATTCTGTTTGCTTATTTTCAGTATTGTCCTCAGTAAATGTCACCCCCTCATGGGACCCGCCTTGATAGCATGTCCCCCCGCACCTTAACCTGCCACCAGATTATAGCAGATTGTCCCACTAAAGGCTCTCATTTCTCTCTCTACTTCCTTTAGAACACTCGTCTCTCTTTTGCGTTAAACTTTCAGGTTCTGTGACAGCAGAGGACCAGGAATAGTATATACAGTTTCTCATAGAGCCTAGCATGGTGCTAGGATTATAGTAACAGTATTAGATGTTGAGTGAGTAAGTGACTCTTTATGAACGTCTGAGTGAGCATCATCTAGACTCTTGGTCCTGTGAGATAGGTTTTGGTTTACCTATAAAGCTACATGAATTTGCATCCGCAGATTTGCCTTTTACCTTTGGCAAAGTGGACAAACAATATGTATTAGGAAACCATGTATATTAAAAATGTATTTAGTGCATATTTGTATTGCATGAAGTTTACACTCATCTTAGGGAGTGGGTACATGAACATAATGTAGCTTGTTTCCATTTTAATTCCATTCCCTTTCCCAGCCATCTCCCTTACTCTGCCTCTGAATCCCTTTTTCCCACTTTCATTCTTTTTGTTATTATTTCTCATAGCTCATGTTTAGGAAATACAATGTTTACTTTCACTGAGGTTGTTAGGTTCCTGCACATGGCATATCTTCCTTCTTTACCCTCCCCCTTTGTCTGGACCCTTCCCATCTTCCAGAGATCTGTTTCCTTGTTTCCTTTTATTCATTCTTACTATGCTCTTTGTTTGTATTCTGCCTTACTCAAGTGAAATATACCATATGGTATTTAAGCTTGTATGTGTAATTTATTTCATTTAACATTGTATTTTCCAGTTGCTTTCACATGATGGCTATTCACTTTGGCTCACATAAGCCTGCTAGACTAGGTATTGATGACCCAAGATGAGTAGGACTGGTTTTATGTTACAGGTACTGCTGATTCAGTGAGAGAGATAGAGGCATGAGCAGACAAAGACAGTTACTATGATAAATATAAGACAAAGACATTTCCAGATTGGCAGTGGGAGAACAAACTTTGGACTCAGCATGCTCTCCTGTGGGACTCCCTGGAGAGGACACTGAGCTTGTTAAGGGTGACTAGGAGTTAAGGGCATAATGTGAAGATAATGTAGAAAGAATAAAGGAGAGGGCAGTGAGCTATCCAAGCCTGCTACAGGGAATTTCAGATGATTCAGTATTGCAGAATGGACAAAGCAAGGGTGAGAATGCACAAGAAGCAGAGGTGGGCTTGGTCATACCATAGAATGTCAGTTGGAGGAGTTGATGTAACAGATTTTATTTTATAAAGATTTTATCAAGATCAATTGATAAAATACAGAAAACAGATAGAAGGTAATGGGACTGTAGGGAACATAAATAAGTAGTTCCTTAGATGTAGGAGATCAGGGAAGGAATCTCTAACTCATAACTGAAGTCTCAGCCTAGGCTAAACGAAAACTTTGGGTTCACCTTTTTTTCCTATGGATAGATGCAAAAGATTTTTATACATGGAGTATAGAATATTAAGGATGACTTGATGAGAAATGAAGCTAAAATTCTTCCTCTTATTACATATTTTCTAGACTAAAATGAGTATATTATTTACTATAGAGGTACTTTAAAAGATCTTTTTTATTATAGAAAGTTTAAATATGTACAAAAGTAGATAGAATATAACAGTGTACACTTCCTGCCAATCCTGCCCTAATGAAATACCACTTACTTCCCTTTTCATGTTAAATACCATGTATCATAACATATTATACATAAATGTTTGACTTGGTAACGATCTGTTTAAATAATAAGAAAGTGATTCTTCTTTTTTTTTTTTAGATAGGGTCTCACTATGTAGCCCAGGCTGGCCTCAAACTTGTGGCAGTCTTTCTCTCTCAGTCTCCTGAATGATGAAATTACAAGCATGCACCAACATACCCAAGACACAGTTTTTAACACAACTACAGCTACCAATATCATATCTAAAACATACTTCAATTTAATCAGATAACTTATCAGTGTTGTAATTTCTGATTTCCCCAAATAAAGATTTAAATTAAAATACTCATCTGTAGCATTTACTTGATCAGGATCAAAATAAAGGACTGAGATTCTTTTAAAGAAGGAGTTACCAGTAATTAATAGATACACATGAGGAGAGCTTTGACTTAAATACGGATACATCACTACTTACTTTGGTTTGCTCCACTTCTACTTCTGCAGATATCTCAGTAGGTAACTGAAAAAATATGAAGGAAACTTAGATTATATTATTGGTTCTCTCTCCCATTTTTTTAGGTCTCTCTGTTCCCTGGTGTGCAAATGGACATACTCAGCAGAGAAAGGCTGGGATGACAGTTTCTGGAAGATGATTGGTTTGGAAGACTTTGTTGCTGATAATTACAGTAAGATAGGTAAAAGATTAGAAAACATATCAAATGATCATCTGTGTGTGTATTAAGATACTCCTTTTTGTTTTGTTTGAATTAATATACAGGAACACAAGTCAGTTTTTTTAGTCCTAGGTTTTCCTGAATGATTCCATTGTGATGGGCAGGCCATGACAGCAGGCCCTTGTGTGAAGACTTATTTTACTAAATGGTGATACATACTATTGTAAATCTGTGCTGAAATGCAGAATCACAAGTTGGACTAGACTGAGGAGGATCTTTGAATGGGGTGCCTGGGTCTAGCATAATCAAGGGGATCTCTATGGACCATTTCTGGTCTATAGTAGGAAAATTGTGAGTTAGCTTCAAGGGATAAGGCAAGGCTATGAACAAGAAAAGTTATAAAATAGAAAAAATCAAAAATAGAAGAATCGGGAACAAGACAGGAAATAGAATGAAAGCTGACACTTCTTGAGTAAGGCTTTCTAGTCCCAGACTCCCAGTTTTATGTGGCAGTAAATAGATGGTACAAGTGGGAGTAGCTAGTCGTTGTTTACCTGGTGAAAGTATTTAGAAGGTAGACACATATAATGACATTTTGGATTTTAAAGCTTCCAAGGCTATTTCACAAGAACATGTTTATTTCCTGTAGTTACTACTTACAATTCTAGTTGGCTGTCATCAGGTAAGCAATTATATGTACTTGAGTGGAAAATTTGAAACACTGCTGAACTGGTTAAGTGTGCAGGTCAGGAATTTGTAATAATAAAATTAGACAAGATAGACTGTGATTTCCCTTTCATGGAATAGAATAAAAGTAAGTGACTATTAGTGCAATTCTTCAACATGACCTCTAACTTCGGACCCAAGCTAGGCTAGTTCAGTTTTGCTCAGTTCCCAGCCAGTGAGAAAGAAGAATAAAAGGTCCAGAGGAATCATACATGATTTTTTGGAGGCAGCATAACCTCATTTCTGCTCATTTCTTGTTGACCAGGATACATTCAGAAGCCTCCAGTAGGCTGCAAAACTATGGTAAATGAAGTCATTGGCTGGGTGACCGTATGTCCATCTATGGTCAGTAAAACGAGAGCAGTGCGTTATTAAATATAAGGAACAGCTGGTAGTGTCTGCTGCAACTTCTCCAACAACTAAATCCCATAGTAGTTCAACCTGTCTTTCTCTAGAAGAATCCTCATGACAGTCGGTGAAAGTTCAAGTAGAAACATGAGGAATGATAGTCCTAGTATGTTATCTGTGATCTCTTCATCTCCTAAGAAGTGAATCTTGGCAAAAGAATGCAAGCAGGGTTCTAAGCAGAAAGAGCTGCGCAGGAATTCGTATGGCTCTGCTGAAATCATTTCAGGATCTGAGTTGGTAGAGAAGGGGAGGAACTTGCTATTGGGAAGAGAGGAAGCAGGCAAAGCAATAGTCTTTAGTCAACAGTTATGTTTTAGAACTTTTGCTAGGTGATTTGTGTACATTATCTTACTTAGTCTCACAAACCTCTAGCTCCACTGTTTTCATTTTACAGATATAAAAATTGAAATTCATTTCCTTACTGGGTATTAAGAGGTAGAGTCTGATTCTTTTCCTTGGAATAAATTAGGCTGGGAGAACAGATGTGGCTGTGTAGCTGGCCTTTAGTGGGATTGTGGAGCAATTGAGTAGCCAGTCCCCAAAGCCACCTTGAAGTAGACTGAGACAAATGTCTTTAAGTGGACTTGGGTAGTGGTACAGTGGGATCTCAGTCTGATCGGTTGGTAGGGCTTCATATACTTTAGGTTCTGAAGGTGGTTGTATTTTAAAATTCTAATGTTGAGATCAGTTGGGACAGAGACCAAAGTAGGGCCAAACTTTGACCTCACTGGCCTCTGGGGGATCTGTCCATTGTGTGGTGTATCAGGACTCCTGTCAACCAGGCTAGAGTTTTAGGTGGTGCTGCACACCTAGCAGCAGAACTGACACCAGCAAGAAAGTGATGCCAAACAGGCCCTGGATGATAGCTTTTTATCTGTCTTGCCCTTCAGTGTGCTGGCATGGTAGGTACTGATGTGTAATACTGTCTGAATGTGTAAGTCATAAGCACAATAATTCAGATGGCAACAGATCACCAAGAATTAAAAGAAAACTGCAAACCACCATAGACTGGGTGGCTAAAACAACGTTTGTTTCTCAGTTTGGGGCTTCAGGAAGTCCAAGGTGCTGACATTTGGAGGCCTATTTTCTTGGCTTATAAGTGGCTGCCATCTCACTGTGTCCATGTGACCTCTGTGCATAGGGCCGAAAGGGAACAAGCTTAGGTGTCTGTTCTTGTAAGGATGCTAATCATCTAGGATTAGAGTCCCACTCTTATGACCTCATTGGACCTTAATTTCTTCTTTAATTTGCCCTGTCTTTAAATACAGTCACAATGGGAGTTAAGGCTCCAACATACAGATTTTAAGGCAACAGGCCAGTCAATAACATTCAGGCACTTAATAGCTAGTGGCTACAAAAAAGGGCCATTAAACCAGGTGCAATGGAACACATATAGTCCCAGCACTCTATGAGGCTGAAGCGAGAGGATTGGAAGTTTAAACCTAGCCTAGCAACTTAGTGACCTAGTGAGGCACAGTCTCAAAAAAAAAAAAATTCAAAAAGGCTGAAAATGTGGCTCCTGCATTGTATACCCAGAACCACCAAGATAAAAAAAAGGAGCAAGGGTATCCTTAGTACCAAACCTGGTGCTCCAGAGGCTCTTCATGAGCTCCCTGACTTGGAGAAGAAATAGCAGGGCCTAGTGCCAGGGCCAGCCTCTTCATACTGTGATGGAGAAAGTACAGTAGGTAAATTTGAGTCCAGTGCACCAAAACTGGAGCTGGGTTAGTTCTACTTCTGATACTATGGTAATAACTCAGATATGCCTCATAATGTTTCCATACCTCCATAGTCTGGTCTACAAAAGAAAATAGAAATGATTTAAATTGCTTACCTGTCTCAGATATGGTGCTATTGCATTACAATCATTCTCTTTTTTAAATTTTAAAAAGTGTGTTAGTAACACACTTTTTTTTTGGTCGGGTATCGAACTCGGGTCCTTGTGCTTCTGAGGCAGGTGGCAGAACCACTGAGCTATATCCCCGGCAGTAACACACTATTTTTATTTATCCTATTTTACTGAAGGCTCAGAAAGGGGCAGCATACCTCACCAGTGGTTGCACAGAGTTGAACAATTTATGATAGGTGAAAGTAGAATGCAGATCCACATTTGGACAATGCCAAGTCCTTCTCTAACCCTCTTGTGTACTGACTTTCATCTTGTATTCACTGTGTACCTGTAGCAGGCCATGGAAAATACTGATTCTCACTGCCCTGCCCTGCCCTTGCCTTCAGTTTTCCCCATAACTTGTTTCATGTCATTCTCTTAAGTAGTAACAAAAGCGCTGTCAGCCTTTTTACCAATAAGAATCAGAGAGATTAGCAACCTTGGTTGATTAACCATATAGAGAACCAATAAATTATGAATGAAAACTAAAATCTTTGGGGGGGTGGTTAGATGGAAGCAACATTTTATTAGAACACAAGTGCTAGACTGATATTTAATTGATTTTAAACATTTATATGTTGCCCTAAAATGTTAGTGTTTCTTTCCTCAGTATTTCCACAGTATATTGAACATGGAATTTCATTACCTGTTTATGTGCGTTGATTACAAACTATACTTTGAACTCTTTGACACAGGATTTTCACTTACTAGATATTCTTAGTAAAAGCAGAAGGCATGACATATTGCTAACTTACTGTTTGATTAGTAAGTGAATAAATTAATTATTGAGATTGCTGATACTAGGAGGTTGGTGCTTTTTGCTTTTAAAGGCTGTAAGGATATTTACTATATCAGCAGTACCTTTGGCAACATGGGTCCAACTTTAACTTTCATTTTCTGATTGTTCTAATGCTTTTCTCTTATCTCACACAATATAGATGTTCAATCAGTATATTAGTTCTGCTAATAAAGCAATACCTACAAGAAATACTCATTAAAAGTCCATAATGTTAATCTAGCAGAAAATTTCCAGGGTAACATTAGATTTTGCCTGTTCTGTTAATGGATTTTTAATGGATGTCTTACGGAGACATATCATTAAGCAGAATATTGTTATACATGGATTTAAATTTACCCATTCATCAAAATTAATTGTGTGATGTTTTCTTTGATTGCTATTTCTGGTTATTTGAGTTCAGGATGGTTCAATCTGAACCCAAGGCAGAAGACTTTAATAGGATGTTTACTCTCAGCTATGACTTTCAGAAACTGCTCTGGATGCTAACTCAGACATTGCTTAGCAATTCTTGGAACTATGAAAAATGGATCTCGGAATCCTCTCTATGAAGTGTTAAACATTTCCAGTGGCCTCATTGCCCGTCAAGATGTGGGCAATATAGCACAAAACCTTTTAGCAGATTTGAGCATTGAGCAAACAGCCTGGATTTGAGCATTAATACAATTACCATAATTCGCTCCATGTGGAGCTTTTAGCCAAGTCTTTACCAGCCTTCCTTGGCTCATGCAGTAAATAAATGCTTTCCCTGAAAACTGAACACCTCAGCAACTGAAGGTCTTATGGAGGAGTATCTTTGAAATTAATTATTTATGAAGTGTACGTTAAGGATCAAATGCAATATTTATATGGTGCATTTCAAGGACAGGAGATATTTACAATATTTTAAGTAGCTACTTGCAAGTTTCTAAAGCTCAATATTACTAACTAAGATCTTATTTCAAGGGAGCACTGGTATAGTTTGGTTTGGGACACTTGTACAAAGTAAAGAAAAAATTTTATGAATTAAAAGAATATAAATTTCTTTATGATAAAAAATATAGGTTGAATTAATATTCATAATTGATAGATAAAGCCACAAACTATTTTCCCTAGGAGATAATCTACCCATGGTCCAATAAAATAACCTATGTCAATAAGTTGTGATCTTCAGTTCCCTGTGAGTCATTCCCAGATTTCCTATCTAATTCCTGGCATCTATCA